CTTGTTTTCACTGACAACAGTGAGCTTCTCCATCACTTCTCTCCACAGATGTAGTCGATTTGATTTCTGTGTATTCCCTCTGGTGAAACCCACATGTATAGCCACTGTTTATATTGTTGGGGAAAAAAATATTTGCAATGAATAAGTTATTGGTCTTGCAAAATTCTATCATGCAATCTGTGGCATCATTTCTGTCATCAATACCCTATTTTCCAACCACTGATGATTCTTCTTTGTTTCCAACTTTCGCATTCCAATTGCCAATAATTGTCCATACATCTTGATTACATGTTAGGTCAATTTCAGACTGCAGAAGTTGGAAAAATCTTCAATTTCTTCATCATCGGCTTTGTTGGTTGGCACACAAATGTGAATAATAGTTGCATTAACTGATCTTTTTTGTGGGGGTATGGATATTATCCTATCACTGACAACATTGTATTTCAGGATAGACCTTGACATGGTCTTTTTAAGGATGAATACCATTGCATTTCTCTTAATTTGTTGTTCCTGGAGTAGTAGATCACATGATTTTCTGATACAAAATGGCCAATGTAGTCCATTTTAGCTCACTAATGCCTAAAAAGGGAGCTCTGGTAGCATAGTGGCTAAGGCATTTGACTGCTAACCAGAAGACTTGTGGTTCAAACCCACCAGCCCCTCCTCAGAAGGAAGACTAGGCAATTTACTTCCATAGAGATACTGCACCTTGGAAATCCAAGGAGGAGTCTCTATGAGTCAGATTCTACTTGAGGGCAGTGAGTTTGGTTTTAGTTTGGAATGCCTTAAAAAAAAAAAAAAAAAAAATTCACTGCTGTCCAGGATATCAATATTTATCTGTTCCGTTTCACTTTGAATAACTTCCAATTTTCCTAGATCCATACTTTGTATATTCCATGTTCCAATTATTAATGAATGTTTGCAGCTGTTTCCTCCTATTTTGAGTCATGTCCCATCAGCAAATAAAGATCCCAAGAAGTCTGTCCACATCATTAAGGTTGACTCTACTTTGAGGAGGCAGTTATTTCCCAGTCATATTTTGAGTGCCTTCCAACAGAAGGGCTCATCTTCAGGAGCAATGTTTTACGGCTCTTCATAAAGTTTTCCAGTAATATATCAGACAGTGTTTCACTGCTATTCATAATGTTTTCAGTAGCCAGTTTTTTCATAATTGGATAGCCCCGACCTTCTTCCCTGCTTGTCTTTTTCTGAAAGTTCTGCTGAAGCCTGTCCACCATGGGTGACCCTGCTGGTATTCAAAACACTGGTGGCATAGCCCCCAGCCTCATGGCAACTCTCAAACCACCACAGTATGACAAACTGACTAACAAGTTACAGTTCTATACACTAGCAATGAATTGTCTGAGAGCTGCCACCTCCTGTTTGTTAGATATAAGATTGTGGCTCTAGTGTCAGATACCTGATTTCAAATCTTAGCTCTACCATTTGTGAGTTGAGTGACCTTGGGCAAGTTTTGTAACCTCTCTAGGAGCTCTAGTGGCAAAGAAGGTCTGGTGGCGCTGTGGTTAAAGCATGGGGCTACTAACTAAAAGGTCAGTAGTTCGAACCTATCACCGCTCTGCAAAAGAAGAATGAGGCAGTCTGCTTCCATAAAGATTTACAACCTTGGAAATACTGTGGGGGTAGTTCTACTCTGCCCTACAGGGTCATTATGAGTCAGAATCAACTCAGTGGCAATGGGTTTCATTTGCTTTTCTTGGCCTCAATTCCTTTATTTGTGCACTGGGAATAATCATGATATCTGCCTCCTGGGGTTGTTGTGAGGATCCAATCAGACATTCTATAAATCTTTAGCAAAGAATATTCCATAAACAATGCCATTCTTTTTTTTTTTTTCCTTTTTTTAAACTTTTTATTATGATTTAGGTGAAATTTTGCAAAGAAAATGCATTTTACTTTCAAAAGTTCATGTACAAATTTGTTTTGTGATATTGATTATATTTCCTGCAGTGTAACATCTCACTTCCCACTTCCTCCCTGTGGTTACCCTTTCCCTGTATCCTTCTTGCCTATGCATTCCTGCCTTTCTCTCTGTGCAAATGCTGCCCTACTGGTCTCCCATGGTTGACTGTTCTAAGGAGTGCATCTTCCTGGTACAAGCGTTCAGCTCATAGGCCTGTCCATTGTTTGTCTGAGAGTTAAGCCACAGGACTGAGATCAACTCCAGGCCCAAGGGGGCGACTTAGGGACAAATAAATACTAAGTTCTATTCATCTTCTTCCCTTTTTCCAGGTTGTCTTCTTGATAAACATCAACTCTCCTAGCATGTCAAAGAAAGTAATTACACCTGTCTCACTGCTGGCCCCTCAACTCTTCCTTTGCAGAAAAAAAGAAAGATTTTTGCAGAAAGGCTAAGGGAAACCACCCAGCTGCACTGGTGATTAACCTGTGGCATCAAGTCTCAAGGCTCATCTCTCTGCCCTTTGAGGTTCTCTGTCTCTTGGTGCTCTGGGCTGTCCATTTTATTGTGATCAAAAGTGTCCAAGTCAAGTCTAGCCCGCTTGGCAAGGAGAGCAATTGTAATCTTGACAGTACATAGCAACCCTATAGCATAGAGCAAAACTGCCCATAGGGCTTGGGACCATAGTCGCAGGGGACATCAAACTCAATTGGCATAACATACTATACAAAACATTGTTCCACCTACCACTTTGGCGAGTAGCGACTGGGACCTTAAAAGCTAGGAAGCTGCCATCCAGATGCAACAATGGGTCTCTCCTCATCAAGAAGAAAGA